GCCACTGTGAGAGGACCTGCTTTGCTGGCTTGCCTCTGCAGTTCAGCTGAGAGGAGCCTTGCAGCATGGGCTCTGTGAGGGTACAAGCTCTGAAGTAAGAAAATTTGGACCTTGGGTTTTGGTTCCTAGACGGGACTGGCTGTGCTGATGAGCATGCCCTGCTGTGAGGCCAGCGTTCTGTTATCAGTGTTGTTTGAACAGCACCTTTGATTGGTGTGGCTTTGGTCTTAGGACTGGATAGGTCACTTCCTCATCCCTTAGGGGAATGTCCCTGGCTGATAAACCAAGCAGTCAAGTGACTGGTAGTTTTGCACAATTCTTCCTTGTGCTGATTCAACTGTTCTAATCCCGCAGCCGGTAAAGGAGATATGTGGAAATGTGTCTAAAGCTGGTTTGTTTTTTCCTCTTCCAGCGTTGGGAGCTGCCTATGGGACAGCGAAGAGTGGCACGGGTATTGCAGCCATGTCTGTCATGAGGCCTGAGCTCATCATGAAGTCCATCATCCCCGTGGTGATGGCGGGCATCATCGCCATCTACGGCCTGGTGGTGGCCGTGCTCATCGCCAACGCCCTCTCGCCCTCCATCACACTGTTCAAGTGAGTCCCCGTGCCCGCCGGGTGCTGCCAGGTCCCGTGCCTGGTGTGGGCCCCACAGAGTGGGCAGGGTTGGGTTTGAGTGGGCCCCAGGAGGAGCTGTGGGGGCCGGCGGCTGCCCCGGTGCTGCTCCTGGGGATGCGTGGCCCTGTGGCTTGGAGGGAGCTGGGTATTGGCACCAGAGGGTGAGTGTCTTCTGGTGCCCAGCAAGGCCTGGAACACAGGTCTTTCCAACACTGTCTAAATAGTTCCTGTTGCCTGGGAGAGGCAGGTGAATAATTAATATTGCTTGCTGCTTTCTGTGCTGGTAAGTCTATCCTCCAGCTATACAGCAGGCCTCTGTGCTGCTCTGAAACTCAATCCACCCTTGGCTTTTGAGAATAGCTGGAGCTGGCTTGATTGAGACCTCTCAGAATAAAACAGTGCTCTGAGGCCCCACAGCAGGCCCTGGCATCGCTGCATGAGCCGCAGCTGATGAGCAGGGTGTTTGGCCCAGTGAGTGGTGAACTGGGAAGGAGCAGGTACGGATGTTCCTGTGCAGTTACTAGAGGAGCAGGTCTAGGAAGCCAGACCATCCCTGTCCAGCTCCTGCAGTGCAGGAGACCTCAGAATTGCCTGGGTGTGCTACAGCTGTAGGATGAGGTGGCCCAGGGTGGGAGGCTGAAGCAGCTGCCCAGCACCATGGGGCAGGCTGCTGTGAGCACCAGTCTGTGGCTGATGGGGGTGGCTGCAGGCCCAGCAGCTTAGTGTGCTGGTTGAGCCACACCCAGGTGCCAGCTGGAGGAGCTTGCAGAGCTGCCAGGTTAAGTGTCAGAGCTGGGAAGCTCAAGAAGCGTCTCCTTTGTGAGACTTACTGTTCTTGCTTCGAGGCCGTAAAGCTCTTCCTTCAGGAAGAGGATTCCCTTGAATGTATTCGGTGACAGTTCGGATTTGCTTTGGGGAGAGCAAGGAGAGACCAGCTTGAGGCCAGAGGGTTGGGTGTCTGTTGCTTGCCACTGAAACTCTTCTCATCCCTGTCCTACAGGAGCTTTCTTCAGCTGGGTGCTGGCTTGAGTGTGGGCCTGAGTGGTCTGGCTGCTGGCTTTGCCATCGGCATCGTGGGTGACGCGGGGGTCCGGGGCACAGCACAGCAGCCCAGGCTATTCGTGGGCATGATCCTCATCCTGATCTTCGCTGAAGTCCTGGGTCTCTACGGCCTCATTGTGGCCCTTATCCTCTCCACAAAGTAAACGGCACGGTGATGTAAAGAGGTGTAACAAATCCGCATCCAAACAAAAAAGCTCCAGAATGAAAATGGTCTCTCCAATGTGTACAGTTGTCCCAATTTGGTAGTTGATCTCTTGTAAATGCGCAATGTACGTTAGTGACTCGTCTGTCCTGTGTGTACTTCAATAGTAAATCGGATGGGCTGCTCCCAGCCGCCTGCGTGGCTGGGAGGGGCCCATGTGCAATTTTCCACCCATTGCTGTTAGTATTTTATGTATAAATATGAACTAGAAATGTAATTTTTTTCTCTTCACTGGATGTTTATTTATAAAAGACTTGACATGTTCATACATCTATGGAGCAAGGATTTTCAATTTCCCATGCTATATATATTAAACTTATATATAGGTAGATTACACTGTGGGGTCAATTGTAAGTGCAGAGAATTCCTTGGATGTAACTTTGATTCTAAAGATTGCTGTAGTGTCCTGGTATTGGAGTATGAGAATTCTGTGTTTTATTACAGCAACTGTCCGAAACACTCCCGTGTTTCAGTAGTAACCGCGTATGCTCCGGCATCAGAGTCGTGCACCCAGTGTTGGGTTACAAACTTATACCATGTTTCCAAATAAAACTTCCTCACTACATTGCTGTGCTGAGTCCTGGGCCTCTGATTTGATGCTTTTGCTGCTCCTCTAGGGGAGGCAGGTTCCAGGGGTGGCCGAGCACCGTGCAGCAGCCGTGTCGTCGTCCCTGTGTGCTCGCACAGCGTGAGCAGGGGTTCAGAAAAGGCAAGTCCTCCTTGACCAGCCTGATCTTCTGTGACCAGGTGACCTGTCCAGTGGGTAAGGGAAACGCTGTGGATGTTGTCTACCTGACTTTAAAACCTTTCACACCATCTCCCACAGCATTCTGCTGGAGAAGCTGGTGGCTGATGGTGCAGATGGGTGGACTCTGCTGGGTTCAAACCTGGCTGGGTGGTTGAGCCCAGAGTTGTGGTGAGTGGAGTTAACTCCAGCTTGTGGCTGGTCATGAGCAGCGTTCCCCAGGGCTCAGCTCTAGGGCCAGTCTTGCTTAACATGTTTGTCAATCATCTGGATGAGAAGATTGAGGCACCATTGGTAAGTTCGTGGATGACATGAATCTGATCCAGGTGTGTTGATCTACTTGAGGGTCAGGAGGCTCTGCAGAGGGATCTGGACAGGTTGGATTGATGGGCTGAGGTCAACTTTATGGGGTTTGACAAGGCCAAGTGCTGGCCCCAGGCAGTGCTCCAGGCTTAGGGCAGAGTGGCTGGAAAGTGCCTGGCAGGGAAGGACCTGGGGGTGCAGGTGGACAGACAACTGAACATGAGCCAGGGTGTGCCCAGGTGGCCAAGGAGGCCACCAGCATCCTGGCCTGGATCAGCACTAGTGTGGCCAGCAGGAGCAGGGAAGGGATTGTGCCCCTGGACTGGGCACTGGGGAGGCCACAGGTTGAGTGCTGGGGTCAGGTTTGGGTGTCACAGGGTAAGAAAGACCTTGAGGGGCTGGAGCAGGTCCAGAGAAGAGCAATGAAGCTGGGGAGGGCTCTGTGGTACATGGCTTGTGAGGAGCAGCTGATGGACCTGGAGATTTTCAGCATGGAGAAGAGGAGGCTGAGGGGAGACCTTCTGGCTCTCTACAGCTCCCTGAAAGGAAGTTGGAGTGAGGTGGGGGTTGGTCTCTTTGCCCACCTAACCAGTGATAGGATGAAAGGAATTGGGCTGAAGTTGTGCCAGGGGAGGTTTTGATGGGATATTAGGAAGAACTTGTTTCCTGGCAGAGTGGTGAGGCATTGGCCCAGGCTGCCCAGGGAGGTGCTGGAGTCACCACCCCTGGAGGGGTTCAAAAAATGTGTGGATGTGGCACTTGGGGGTGTGGTTTAATGTTGGGTTGATGGTTGGTCTTGATGATCTTGGAGGTCTTTTGCAACCTGCCCTTTCTCTCTTGGGCAAGTGGCTGTGCTGTGCTCTCCCTGCTGCAGCAGCACACCTTGCCCTGTGCCATGGCCAGGCTGTGCCACAGGGCTGAGGGACAGGGACACAGCTGGGGCCTGTCACCAGGACCACAGGAGCTGCAGAAACTCGGCTGCCTGGGAGCTGTGCTGTTGGCAGCAGTTGCCTCGAGTGCCTGAACAATGGTCTCATCAACAAAGCGGGTTCATTCAAGAACTGGTGTTTTTAACTGGTAATGATGTTTGAGCTGAGCAGTTCTGCCTCTGCAGCTCGTGGGTGCTGCAGAACCTCCTCTAGTCTGAGGGTGTGTGGGTGCTGCAAGCCAGGCCGAAGCTCGTGGGAAATGGGTGTTGGACCCCTACAAACGTAGAGCTTGTTACAAACCACCTTTGGGAATGTTCCCTTCTCAGCTGCACAGCTTGGAGAAGGAGCTTGGCCTTGTTTGAGCCAAAATGTTGGTACAGAGGCAGCCGGTTGTGCTGGGTCGGGTCCTCCTCTGGCAGCCTGGCTGGGGCTGGGGGTGGGGTGGGG